ATTATTGCTCAATGTGTGGATTCAGTCTACCCCATCTGGGCATTTGTAAAGACTGCAGCTTTCGATTAAGTGCAGTGCTGTTTGTTGGACACCATATTCACGCAGGGGCTGTCCAAGATATTCATCTTGTGAAGTGTTGTTTTGAAGCATCCGGTCACAGATCTGTTCAGTTTGATCTATGCTTTTCTGTCAAGGTTGTGCCCAAAAGGGGACTCATTTGGCGTTGGTATGAAACGCTGTTGGAATAGGTCTGATCTTTCCTAGTGGTCCCACTCATTGCTGCCCATAGGTTTGGTTCAGCATCCCCAATCTCTTCCAGGAGCTTATGGGCTTCATGTATAAACAGTTTATGACTTTTAAGCCTCTTAAGCCTCCATCTATTCAGGTCTTCAGGTAACAGTTGGTGGAACAGGTGATACACATCATCTCTTGCCTCTATTGCCAGTAATGATGTTCGATTCTGTCTTCTTATATTGCTTGGGCTAATGCCCAAGAGTACAGGGAGTAGTACTGTGTGTAAGTTAATATGCAGCCTGTTATGAGACTCAGTGCACTGTTAAGCTTTTGAGTGTGACAGCTACTGAAAACCCATTGCTTATGCGGCAATACCTGAAGATCGTTCTCATGAATGCAGTCCTGGCCTCTTTGTAACTTATGCCGTACATGTCTATCCAGTACCACAGTGCATACAAACATAAGGACAATAGGGTTAATACAGCTTGACGCGCCCTGTACTTGAAGACTATACATGCCATATCAGTGAAACAAGCTCAAGAAAACAGGCGTGACATCCCACAAGCACCTCAAAATATTGTAGGTTTGTGACAACATGGGGAAAAAATTGCCTTAGTCAAAAAGTTTTATAATACAGCACTCAAGCATCACAAAATGGCCAGTCTCCTGACTCTGACCCTGATGTCTACTCATCTATCTGAACTAAATGCAAATAATTAAAGAAAGGATTAGATGAATTGAATCAATGTAGGTAGCCTTCAGTTGTAACATTTGCTGATGTTCACTAAGAGTTAGCCAAAAAGATGAAATTCTGTCCCATGAGGAACAAAAACAGTTGACTTTCAGTGATGCAAAGATTTCACCCCTGGGGTTTGAGTCTGGCCCTGATTCTACAAGGAGCTGAAGCATGTGTTTGATTTTAAGCTTGTGAAACAAGCTCAAGCAAACATGCATAGCACTCCACAAACACCTCAAAATATTGTAGGTTCGTGACAACATGGGAAAAAAATTGCCTTGGCCATAGTATAATCCTGTTCACTTCAGCGGGACTGCTTGCATGCCAAAGTTACACATGTACATAAGTGTTTTTCAGGATTGGGGTCTGATTCATCAGCATCTTGCAACATTAAACCTCTATTTCACTATAACCTTTTCCAGGTCAAAATATTGGGTGAGATACATCTACTGGAAAAGGCATTATTCCATCCCTTGCAACTCCCTGCCGGTCCCAGACTGGCAGCCTTTTCTGCTGTTTTATATTTCATCCTTTTCTTGCCTTCATGTGTGCTTAGGAATTAAGGGGATTTGTAAAAGTGTCCCTGGATCCCAGGCTTTAGTGGCTGGTCTGTTCAACGAGGGGCAGACCTTTCCTTGAAGTCCTGCAGATGCGGACCCCATTCTGTAATATTTGGCAAGTGGTCTCAGCAACCTTTTTGGTGATGGATGGCAGTAACATGCCATTAAATGATCATCTCTGAAGAGAGCATGGAACTGAAACAGAGGTAATTAAATGCAAATAGAATAAATTTCTCTTGTGATGCTGCATTGACTAGCACTTCCCCAGCAGACCAAGTCCAATTCTTTACCTCATCCTTTTGCTCCATGCTGATGCATTGCAGGGAGCTCTCAGAGCCATTGTGAATATTTTGAAGTACAGTGAACTTCATATTATTCTTTTCTTAACTCAGTGTTATCTGTATATGTAGTAGTAGAAAAAAAAACAGACAGGGGAAGAAACCCTGGTTTTCTGCAAGTCAGTAGGAGATTTTCCATTGGATTTTACCCAAGGACCCAGCCCCAGTAGAAAAATATTCTAGGAATCTCTCCTGCCACTTTTAATAAAATGGTACACTCTACTTCCCATTATACAGACCCACATAACTGTTTATGTACTTTGTCAGAATGAAAACTAAATGTATAAAACTGAACATCTATGTTTGTGGCCTATAATCATTGCCTCAATGTAGAAGAAAAGACAGTGGAAGGGCTTGGGCCAGATCCATTCCCCTGAAGCTCATTATAGTATCTTAAAAAATCTGTGTTCTTCTTCTTCCTTTATCAAATGAATGTGGCTTTTATAAAGATGGATAACTGTAAAAATAAGGAAAGACAAAAAGAATCCAAGTATATTGAAAAAAATAGTTTGGGCTAAGTTGCCCCCTAGTGGTAAACGTTATAAACGGGAATAGTTTGTCACCTTACAAATATTTAATAGAGCACAAGCTGTGTTGAAACAGCATTCTTCGATGTGGTTTTCTAATTAGATTGTCTGTTGAAAAAAATTAATAAAAAGTATTAATGAATTAATGAAGAGCAGCAAAGCAAATGCCTGGGGAATCTGGACAATTTTGGTATGTTCGTGGGGTATTATCCATTGTGTCTCACTCACTGGCCTGGATTCAGAGGCATGGCACTGGGGCAGCCACATGGCATCCAGGGCAGCACTGGCTGCTGCCATGCTGATTACAACAGCACTGCTGCCGCCATGGCAATACCTGCTCTTGCACCCTCTTCCCCACCTCTCCTGACATACACGAAGGGGGCACCTGCAGCTGCTGCCCTGGTTGGCCCTTCTCAGTCACGCTATGGCCTGAATTTAACCACGTGGTTGTAAGCAAAAGTGATTTAGAATCAAAGAAATGAGGGTTGGAAGCAACCTCAGGAGGTGACATCTAGTTCAGCCCCCTGCTCAAAGCAGGACCAGCCCCAACTACATCATCCCAGCCAGGGCTTTGTCTAACCAGGTCTTCAAAACTGCCAAGGATGGAGCACCCACCACCTATTGGGGTCACCTGTTCCAGTGTTTTACTACCCTTCTAGTGAGAAAATTCTTCCTAATATCCAACCTAAACTTCCTTTGCTGCAACTTGAGCCCATTGCTCGTTGTTCTGTCATCTGCCAGGGCTGAAAACAGCCCAGCTCAGGGGTAGGCAATTATTTGTGCCCAGGGCCACACGGGGAGTTTTGCTGATTTGTGGCAGGCCAGGTCAGCATCAGTCCCCCCATGCTGCAGCAGCTCACCAAAACTCCCTGGGGAGGATGGGGCCACGGGCAGGTGGGGAGCAGTGGTCAGGGGGGAGATGGGAGGCAGAGGCTGGGAGCATGGGATAGGATCGCAGGACAGCCTATGCCTTGTGGGAAAGGTGTGTGGGGTATGCCCGGTGAGTGGGGGGCATGTCCGCATGTGTGTTTGGGGGGCAGGGGGGCTGCCTGGGTGCTAGTTGGGGGTGAGGAAGGAGCAGAAGCCACATGCAGCAGAGCTCACCCAGTCAGTGCAGTCTGTGGCTGCCCCGTGGTGCTCCATATGGGGCCGAGCCCCACATGGGGCAGCCCATGCTGCACTCCAGCCCACTCCTGCTGGCCTGGCCCCAGCCAGCATGCACAGCTTATCAGCAGGGCTGCTCCCAGTGCGGCTGCTGCTCTGCTCCCCTCGCCTCAAGTGGCGGCTCGTCTTGCAGCCCTCCGGGTGGGGAAGAAGCTTCAGCTGGGTGGTTCGTGCCCCGGTATGTGGGACTCAGGCTCCAGCTCCAGCTGCCCTCTACCCACTCCTTCCGCCTGTTGTCTCTCCATGTTGCTCTCAGGGTCCACAGATCAAAGCTGTTCAGTACAAAGATTTCTACTCTGCCAGCCCTGCAGATTCAACCCAGGCTATAGAAATCAGTGGGTGTTGTTTCCTTTATATGCACCTCTATCAGTAATAGAAGACCTGAAGGCGAAATTATGTCTTCAGTTATATCTGTGCAATTCAGTTGACTGTAATGAAGTTGCTGGGCTATATCTGGCCCTGTAATTATTGTTTAGAGCAGATCTCTGTGAACGTGTGGGAGGGGACAGGTTCCAGCTCTCTTTCTGTCTCGGCTGTGTTGGCCCTCCAGGGGTAACAGGAACGAGAACCACTGTTGTTACCAGGTTGGCAGGATGGCTCTGGATGCACTCAGGAAGCAGATATTCTCTGTCAGATGTAATTTTTTTACTTAGTTACTGACCAGAGCTGAACTGAACTTTATATAACAAATTGGTAACACACTCTTACTTTCCTCTTCATCTTTACCAAACTGGAGTTATTTCCCCCCAAAATACCTCAAAGAGGGTGCATCTACATGTGTTATTAATGCAATTGAATAAACTCCAGCATAGTTCACGCTGGAGTTTGTGGCTCCCAGGTGCCACATTTACATGTGCGCCCGGGACCACAGCATGTTGAGCTGGGGCCGAGCAGCCCCAACTGGCAGAGGGCCCTGGGGTCAGCCTGCCAGCCCAGGGCTGCTCCAACTGGGCTCAGCATGCTGTGCAGGGGCTGGCTGGGCCATGAGGGTGCTCCAGTGCGGGGCTAGCTGGCAGGCAACCCCCACACTAGCACCCCCGTGCCCCAGCTAGCCCCAGCAGTATCTACATAGGTGCTGCTCAGTAAATAATGCCACCTTAGGACAGTCCTTGCGTTGACGAGTACTCACCTACGGTGGCATTTATTCGTTTACTGCGGCCTAATAGGGCCCGACATGTGGACACTGAGACTTTACTGCATAGCTAATTAGGCAACTCCACAATAAATGTCTCATGTAGACGTGCCTAGTAAGAAATAGAATTGTTCCCGTGGATTTTGTCTAGGCTTTAACTTTTAGGTCTGTCTGTTTTTTTAAGTTGTTATAGGACAACTTGTACTGGTACAGATCTGCCAAGATTGGGAAAAGGTCACTGAGAATTTGAACTCCTGTCTGCTCCATTTGAAGACTGACATGGTTTGTTTTGTGCATTTTTATCTCCAGGGTCAGTGGACTTTCCCCTTTCATGGGAGACAATGACAATGAAACCTTAGCCAACGTTACCTCAGCCACGTGGGACTTTGATGATGAAGCTTTTGATGAAATCTCCGATGATGCCAAGGACTTTATCAGCAGTCTACTAAAGAAGGATATGAAGTAAAACTGTTGCATTTGACACACTTGGCATCTAACTGACCCTGCAGACCCCTTTTTGCAAGCACCTCGGTGTTATTGTAGGAGGGGCTCCGGCTGCACCAGTGCCTGTGCCTGTGCACACAGCCATCGTCTGCCTTACATTGTGCAGACTGGGTGGAGCATTTTCACTTGAATGTCTTCTGCAGGGTTGGACCCATAGCCCAAATGCATGGAAGTTGTGTTGTGTAGTTTGTGTGGCCATCATCATCTTGAATGTACTGCTGCAGCACATGGGAGCTACAGATGTCTGCATGAAGTGCTGCTTTTGGTTTGATTGGGTTGCTCATAGGATTTTGTTTAGTGCTGTTTGTGCCTTTCAATGGAGGGCACTACCGTGACAGTACACTTCCCAATGGTTCTCATAAAAGGTGAAGCCTCACAAAAACCAGAGCTTCACACATGTTTTAGTAATAATAGCAAATGTTTATTTTACAGTAACCCCCACAGGTTCCCATCAGGATTGGGGCCCCATTGCAGCAGACACTGAACAAACCTAGGGAAGAGACAGTTCCTGTCCTGGAAGGTTTATGATCCAAAAGATACAAAGGTCAAAAAAAGTGAAAGGTCCATCTGAGCCTAGCAACAATTTTGTCTAGCTCGGATAAAGCATGCCAGTGTCTGACCAGCGACATACAAGGGAGTGTTGTGGATAGCATCTTGCCAAAAAAGAAAACACAGAACAAAGAGTTATATACACATAACATACAGTTAAATAAATTGTTTAATTGTATTTGACAGTGGAATAGACGTGGTGTGCAAGAACGGGAAAGTTAGTAAGTATAAGGGCATACGGATAAGTAGGAAACAAGCAGGACTCTGAGTAGGCCTTATGGCAGAGATGAGTCCTGCGGACTGTGACTATGCTGTGCTTGTCCTTCAGCTATGATGCATGTTTCTTTTTGGACAGTGCTTCACTGGTCTTTTAAAAATGTGAAGTGTTCCCCATAGAAAACCCTTTGAAGTCTTAGAATGGGCAGAGAATGTAACAGGTAGTAAGAATTTGCAGTTAATAAGCAATACCATGCAAGCTGGGTCACCGAAACTAGTGCAGTCTAGTGAGATCATTTGCTTAAAAAAGAAGAGGCAAAGCAGTGACATAAATGGTTTTGTCCTGCATATTGGGCATACTGACTTTGTTTCTTTATGTAAAAACAGGACTCGTTTAGATTGTACTCAGTGCCTTCAGCATCCTTGGCTGCAAAAAGACACCAACACCATGGAAGCCAAAAAACTTTCCAAAGACAGGATGAAGAAATATATGGCCAGAAGAAAATGGCAGGTAATAAAGAGGGCAAGGAAGTGGGCTAGAAATCCTAATGAGTCTCGTTATTTCTAATTGCCATGATCCTGAAAGAACTTACTGCAGAAAGCTCTTGCTGCTGCTAATGCAAAACCCCAGTTGCAGTCCTCAGTGCATAAGTGCAGGAGACCAGCTATGGTTTCTCTTGCTAGTTTAATGATGGGCAGTAGCAGGGGCATGGGCACATATCACAATTGTGCTGAAACACTTGACTCTAAGTATGGGTTTTCACTTCCCCTGTTTTTGGGGTTATGAGGAAGAGGATGCTTTTTGTGTGCTTAAAAAGCTGAGCTGAGCAGTTATGTTGATGTTACCAAGCTGGTCTCTGTAAAGACGTACTAGGGAATTTTTCTTCTAACCCAATGTCTCCCACTTCTTTGAGCACCAGCCTTCTCAGACATTTATCTATTCCCTGCCAGATGGCTTCACTATTTCTTTTCTCTTGCTGCTAGAGAAGCAGATGCCTTGTGGCCTGGATGAAATCTTTTGGCCAGCCTACAAACCACTGAGCTACATGAGTTCCCCTTTTGCCTTTGACCACATCCTATTTGTACATTTCTCAGATGCTTATAAACAAACCTTATGAAAGGTACTGCACTTGGTAACTATATTATAGAGAATGTCAGTGGAGAATATTTAATCACTTGGTGATTGTTTTCACATCAGCTAATATGTCACTATAGAGGCTTGCTTAGATGACTTCAGTTGCACCTTTATAATCATTATAAACTATTTATTTCAAGGTGAAATTCAGCCTCCCACAAAGGGCCAGCATCATAGAATCATGGGAAGTTAGGGTAAGAAGGGACCTCAGGAGGTCATCTAGTCTAACCCCCTGTTGCAAGCAGGACTGTCCCCAGTTGTATCATCCCAGCCAAGGTTTTGTCTACCTGGATCTTAAAAACCTCTACGGATGGAGATTCCACAACCTCTCTGGGTAATCTGTTTCAGCCTCAGGCCTATCAATCACACAAGTCTTATTTAAGTTATAATTTAAGGACTTCAGTGGCATTTAAATTATGTGTAGGCCTCATGTGGGCCCTCTGTATAGGGATGTGCTTCATCCCCTGCTAAGGAGACATGTGGTCCATGGATCTGAATCCTTTGTAAAAGTTTGTGTCTGCATCTGAAAGTAGTAAATCAAGTCTGTCTCGCTAATCTTGAACAGGGTTTCTCATTAATCTGTCCACTGATTACAGTGGGCTTTGGATCAGACCTCAAGTTGCGTGTTTACAGCCATATAGTTAGAGAAAAGGTGGGTGCCTGTGGGAGCTGGACTGACTAGAAGCCTTTATGTTACTTTTCAGAAAACAGGCCATGCTGTCCGAGCAATAGGAAGACTGTCATCCATGGCCATGATCTCTGGCCTGAGTGGAAGGAAGGCCTCTGTGAATTCACCTACCAGTCCCATAAACACAGAAAAGATAGAAAATGAAGGTAAGCAGCTTCACTGATGTGTAAGATGGAATGGTGGCTTTATCTGTACTGTGCCTACTTCTTAGACTAACCAAAGAGCAAGTTGACAACTAACTTTTTGGGCAGCCTCTGTCACACAAAGTAGAACCTAACAAAATACAACAGACCAGCAAAGTCAGTCACTCCTGCCAGCTCTTGATACTCCCTCATTTTTCTCCTTTAAAGAAGTGTATCAGAAAGTCATTATTTTGTGTGTAACAGGACCAGTGGTGCTGTGGTCCTCTCAAGTGGAGACACGACTCCTGCCTCCTCCGATCCCCTGGGGTGCCCTTCCCCACTGCTCGCCTGCTACGCCTTGATGTTCTAAACAAAGGTTGGGAGGCTGCCCAGGGGGGGGTCCTGTCTACTGCCAACCTGCCTTTCGTCAATCCATCATGGCCCGTCCAGCCCTATAGTGCCTTAAGAGCTGTGTTAGCTCTGTCTGCCCCTATTGCCATACCCATGATGATACAGATGGTACACAATACCTCTTCAGAGAGGTTGCCTGGCTCCACCACAGTGGTTGGCCTTCTCAGGCCTCAAGATCTTTCTAGGGGCTTTGGTCTTTCCACCTTTGGCCCCTTTTCTCTGGCTTTGCCCTTCTTAGTCTAGGTCTGCTGCACCGGACCTTAGCATCTGGGCTTTAGCCCCTAGTCTTGCCCCTTTTTGGGCTCTGGGCCCTTGCCCTTTTTTCACATCTCCTGGGCTCTGGGCCCTTCTGGGCCTCGTTTCACCTTTCTCAGGCTCTGGGTGCCCTCAGCACCCCATCTTTGTCCTCTCAAGCTCCAACTCAGGCTGACCTGGCTTCAGGCTGCCTCTGTTGTTCCTCTCAGGCTTCAGCCCTCTTGGCTTCAGGCCACCTATGTTTTACACCCTGCCCCTGGCAGGTCTCTAAACCTCATTGTGCCCCTCAGGCACCCTACCGTGGCTCCTCTTCACCCCTTATAGCCACGCTTGGTCCATTGGTCTAAACAAGAAAGGGGGAAAAAAAGGCAAGCTACCACCTTAACAAAAACTTCCCCCACTCTGGGTAGACAAATATTTGAGCAGACATCCTCCACGGGGGCTCTCACCTCTCTGCCCTCTGCGTGCTTCCATGTGGGGTTTGTGCAGCCTCTCTCTCCAGAGATCTCGGCTCCCTACAAGATAGCCATCCTCTTTCCCCCTCTGACAGGGGTCCTATCTACTGCTGCCCACTCTGAGCCAAGTGACTCTCTAGCCCGCACAGACGTTCCTCTTTAGGTCTAACAGGCAGCTTGCTCTTCCCCCTTGCAGCTGGGGTCTGCTGCGTGCAGCCCTTGCCTCAGCTGCTTGTCTGCTTAGACAGCAGGTAGCCTGCTATGCTTTCCCCTTTTTAGGAACAGGAGTCTTTGGTTACAGTCTCCACCTGTATTGATCTGTTACTCAGAATGGTCCACTGCAGACACTTGAGCAGCTAAAAATACTTGTTCTAATGTTTCTTGTAAAGGTGTATTTGTCAGCTTCCTTTGTTTCAGTCTGGGGGCATAGTGATTATAATTAGAAGCACTGAATAGGAGAATTTAGTTCCCATGTAAGTAATAGAGGACTCGTACCAGCAGGAATAGGGTGCTGGCAGTATTCTGTGTCTGTTTCATAGACATTATAGATTCATAGACATTAGGGCTGGAAGGGACCTCAGAAGATCATCGAGAACCACCTCCGGCGGCAGTCTATTCCAGACCTTGGGGGCTTGGACTGTAAAGAAGTTCTTCCTCATGTCCAGCCTGAAACGGTCCTGAAGGAGTTTATAACTGTTTGACCCTGTAATCCCTTGGGGCGCTCCGGTGAACAAACGTTCCCCCAGATACTAGTGGTCACCCCTGATAAACTTATAGGTGGCCATCAGATCACCCCTGAGCCTGCGCTTTTCCAGGCTAAAGAGCCGCATGGCTCTCAGTCTGTCGTCATAAGGTCTGTTTTCCTGACCTCTGATCATGCGCGTGGCTCTTCTCTGCACTCTCTCAAGCTTCTCCACATCCTTTTTGAATTGTGGAGCCTA